TTATAAAAATATATACTACAAATTCATATTCTATGTACAATTATTTAAGGTAAGCAATATATATGTATAAAAAATTCCAGCATACATATATAAATATAATATGGAAATTGTTTCATTTAATAACATATGTTTAATATAAAAATTTATAAAAATATATACTACAAATTCATATTCTATGTACAATTATTTAAGGTAAGCAATATATATGTATAAAAAATTCCAGCATACATATATAAATATAATATGGAAATTGTTTCATTTATAAATATTGTTGAAATATTTGAATTTTGTTTCTTCTTATGTAAACGAAAAATTAGTTCCAGCTTCTACATCTATAAAAAGTATTAAATATTTGAGCAATGTCTAAAAGTACTCTACATATATTTCTCTAAAACGATCCCGCCTTTTAGTATGCAATACGCTTTAACAAGTAGAGCTAGTTGTGATTTATGAAGAAGAGACCTTGATAACCGAATAAAAGTTCGCTTTCAAATTTAAGGGTAATTAGATTATTAGATTTCTCCAATATACGATACTAGACTTATGACTTATATATGTAAAAATTTTGCATGAACGGCATAGGTAGAATAAATTATTGAAGATAAATAAATACATTTTGTATTTCCTTTATATATCAATTATTTAAATCATTTTTCACAAATTTATTCTAATTTAATTGAGTTGTCAACAGCATTCCTAATTCACATAATTATCAAGTGGTTGTAACTCTTAATAATCACACTTTATTCACCCAACAAATCATCATATTTGGACTCTGATCTTCAGTAAGTTGATCATTAAAGAATGCTAGAGTAAGTCTTCTTCTTCCTCCCGCACATACACTCAATGTCAACTCGTTGAGCTTTGTAATGCTGAGCAGTTACAAAGGGCGTAAGTGCTGATTATGATCAATCTGAGAAATGCTCCCAAGACCACGCCCACACACACACGCACATCCCTTGAGTTGTCAATTTAATTGAATCATCCGAAACGTTTCTCACAATCATTTGCTGAGTGTCCCGAAGCATTCGCAGTTATTCATTCATTCACTCTAAATTCCAGAGCAAACTTCAGCATTGTTCTCTCGCCCTCAGTTGATCAAACTGTATCTGCAGCTGTATCTGTATTTGTCGCCGTGTCTGTCTCTGTGTGTGTTTGTGTTCAGCATAAATTAATAAGGCGGAAATTTTAATATAAATACAGAAAAAATGATGAGCAGAATATTGCGTGTTCTTTCAGTTCCAGTTCCATTGTAGGCATAATTAAGTGCAGCCTTTCCTCGAATTGCTGCCCGCTCTGTGCGTACAGCTCATGCGTGCAGCACTTGCCTAGGTAATTGAATACATATTGAGCAATAAAATTTTACATACGCGAGAGCTCACATTACGGCCACAACTCGTAGAGCTTCCAAGCTCTCGTCTCTGGTCTCCGGTCTCTGGTAACCCCAGACCCAGCCTCCGCCTCCGCCGCCACCCGCACTAACTGTCAACTGTCAGATTCGCATCAATCATTGTGGCGCCTACTTTTCATTTAAATTTATATAATTAACTTGATTTTTTTCTCTAATCGCATTTGTATTTGTGAAAATCTTTCGGCACTTGGCCAAATTAAATCTTAAATCTCCACGTATATTTCTCTCTTTGAAACCCGTTCCTCGTCATGTCATGTCGCTTAAATGGCTTTTTGGCAAGCCACAAGCGAATTTTGTTTCATGTTAATTAATTAAACGCAATTGGCAATTAGCTACTAGATGCACTTATACATATGCACATATAGGTAAGTATATTTTTCCAAGTCCATATGGCATGACTATTTTGGACTGTCTTCAATTGCCGTTAGTTCGAAAAAAATCCATTACGATACAATTTTCCTTATAAAATAAAAACCTAAATGATCAAACTAGTCTCATCTCAGTTTTGTAAATTAACTCAGATTACATAATTGTTCGCACGGAATGTGATACATTTTACTTGAGCTAAAAACGCAAATATTTCTTTTTAATACTCTGAAAATTTCGAGGCTTAGGTAGCACTTAGTAACGCATAAAATTAAAAAATAAGAAATTCTAATTGCTTGTATGTAAAATATTTAAAAAATAATCATCATACTGGTCCTTCCTTTTATTATCATAATTACACTAAAGAATGCATTTAAATTGTAGACCTATGTCAACATGATTGTAATCATAATTATATAATAAATATATGTTATAGATTCAATTATTATTTGTTATAATACCTATTGAGTTCTATCCAAGATTTTTTTCTACATTAAAAAATAATTACTTTTATTTAAAAAAAAAAAAAAAGAATCTTAGAACTTGACGTATAAGTTCGTATAATTATATTCATAAATATTAAAGCTGTTACCCCATATACTTCTATATAATTCTTAATTCTAGAACCTGAATATGTTATATAAAATGTGCAATTAATTAACATGCTTTAGATTCTGCTTAATTTTTTCAAGTGTCATGTTGAAATCTAAAATAGTTAAATTATGAAATTAATTTGCAACAAGACGTAGACAGACACGTACACTCACACACACACACACACACACACACTCACACGCACACATAATTAGAGTTGAAATTGTAAACTAAACCAAAACTGGCTGCATCTTATGGTCAGTTCGAACGACTAACACTCGTTGTGATGCAATTGAAAGTGTGTCAACAGCTTTGGCATCAACTGCAGCAGTCGCAGCAGCAGCAACTGAAATAGTGGAGCATTTAATATCTGTGCAGCCTGGACTCTCTGCATTGCATATTTTGTTTTTCATTTAAACTTTCCATCACTGACACCATGACATAATTATTTTGGTTAAAAACTAAACAAATATAACCAGCCCAGCCTGATTAGGTGAACGACCCAAACTCCAGATCCCCATTTTCCTACTCTCTAAAGCTGGCAACCGGATTCTGCTCATATTTGGTAGCTACTTGTTTTTCTTGATTTCTCGCGCTTTTTCGCATTTATTTCATAGTTTTTAATCACAGCGAAAATATTTTGTTTTTATATTTATATATTTAGTAAAGTACATGTTGTGTGGAATACTCTTTGTGCAACATGGGCTTGGAGTAAACTAATTGATTTTGATTAGGCTGTATTTATCATAGACATTATATTAACAGTTTTTAATGCAGTTTATGATATGTTTTATTATGGATGATAGCTAACACGTCTGCTGAGAGATGGGTGATTTTAGTAATATTTATTTATATTATTGAGATTAAATATATATTTTTTATTTATGTTTTAGAACTTAGATATTTATATTTTAACTTTCAAATTTAAAAATATTTTTAAAATTTTTATATATGAAGCTCGGTAAATATTACGACTAGTCTGCTGATATATTATTGATAAACTGCCGTTAGTAAGCATAAGTTATATTGTAAATTGTAAATAAAATGGGACTAATTAATAAAAAAAAAATGTCTAAATACATATCATGTATTAAATATCCAAATATTATCAAAGTATATAAATTATGTATAGACTATCTGAGCAATAGGCAATAACTGTTATTTATTTACGAATTTTTTAGGGTATTCAGTGTCCACTTACAATACATATCAATTATCACGTATACGACGCACCTGCCCAAAAGTTCATACGGTAACGTTGACAACCAAGGACATTACCTGTGCTTGGCACTTGGGTCACAACCGGTTCAGGTAAGACAAAGATTATGCTGCTGCACAGCTGCGACTTCCGTTCTGCGGTAGTGCAGCAAAACACTTTTAACGCTTGCGCAACTCTTGTATATATAATTTTGTTTTTTTTTTTTTTTTGACAGAACCCATTTAGTGCGGCCAAAGCTATTGGCAATTTATGGAATTTATGGCTAGTTGCGCGGCTTCCTGGTTAACATTTGTGGCAAACGGAATCAGGTTTATGGGGCATGTGGCCAAAGACAAGATGACGTAATCGGAAAATCGCAAACGCTGCCTGCCCGCTAAAGGCAGAGCCGGCAGTCGCCACTTGGCCAGTTGGGCAGTTGGCCAGTCGAGATTCGGGCATTTGGTAGACACCTGGACTCACCTGCACCTTCATCACCTCGCGCATTTCCGTCTTGTAGGAGGGGCAGCGCGGCGGTATCTCCAGGCACCAGGTGGAGGTGCGCACCCGCACCGGCTGCACCTCGGGCACCTGCAGCAGCTCCTCGTACGGCTCCTCGCGCGTGCAAATGTTGCCCGTGCTCTGTATTGAGGGCAACGCCATGGCCGTTGCATTCACATCCTTGAGGTAAGTATTCACACGTAGGCTATTGTTTTGGCTGTTGCTCTCGACAACTTGCAGCAGCAGCAGCAGCAGCATTGGCAGCACTGACAGCCGCCAGTTGCAACACACTTGCGGCAGCTTCATGTTATCTGATATTGATTTGTAGAATTTGAAATCTTTTCGTTTTTAATTTACTTATTTATTTGCGTAGTTTAGTTACTAAAGTCAAAATTTATTTTAAATGTTTTTAAAAAATATTATTTTTATACAAAATTGTTGTTTATTTATTTATTTATTAATTTTCAGTTTAATGGTATTTATACTTTTCTTTATTCCCTAATAATTTCTTTTTTTACTTTTATTTTTTGGTTTTACGACGATTGTAATGAAATATCATATATTTATTTGTTTACGAATAATGAATAATTTTAATTTTTATACATTTTTTATGCATACAATTCTTATTTATTTTAGCTGGTTTATTTATTTAGCTAGTTTGAGAAAACAGTTTCTTTTTAATAACCAAATTAATTATATGTATTATTCTAAAGAAGTTAATTTAATTTTTTTTTTATTTTGAATTTTGCTTTTATTTAGTTTATTATAATTTTAGTTTTACTTAAAAAAATGGATCATATATATTTTTTTAATTTTTATTAATATGTTTGTTTATTTACTTTGAGAGCTTGTGATTATATTATATTTATTGATTTTTTTTCCCATTTTTACTTTCACTTTCTACATTCACATTTATTATAATGTTATAATATTTATACATTTGGTCTTATGATCCTTTTTACACATATATGTTAGTATTTGTTTTTAGGTGATTTGATAAGTTAGTTGAACAATTCTTTGGCTTATTATGCTGCTAGAACTTTCTTTAACTTTCACTAGATTTACAAAGGTTCTTAAATCAGAATCTTTCCGCTCGAAATGCGTTGCGTGTGCGCTTGGAACGCGACTCTCGTAGTGACTGTTGTTTTCCCCGTTGGCGGCGATTCAATAGCACGTCTGTGTCTGGTCGCGTGTTCCTTCTCCAAAATCAGTGAAACAGTAAACAAATGGGGAAAACATATACATATATGCATCTGTGTTTGTGTATATCAAATTGTTGTCATTGCAAATTGGCGAAGCCGACGACACTTTTTGTCGAGCTAATGAAGGCCGCTGCCACGGAGCGGGGCACAGCGGGGGCGTACGGGCGACAGGGCGGAAGTACGCACTGCATACAGTTCGAACTCTACAATGAAAGTGAAATGCGAAACATACATACACATACACAGACACAGACACACACACAGACACATAAGCTAGTCTACAGTGCAACTCTACACACGATCAACTCTTGAGCTCCCTCTCTCTCTCTCCCTCCGTGTCTGCCTCAGTCTCTCCCTCTCTCACCCCCACTCGTTTACGATGATTGCACCTAATTGAAATGTTGATAATGTCCTTAACATGTTTGTTGTTGTTGCTGCTGCTGCTGCTGCTGCCGTTTAAGCGAGGTAAACGCGCTTTTTGTTTTTGTTACTTGCGCTTTTCTGTTGACAGTCGGCGACAGTTGACGGAACGTGGGAGAATGCATAAATTAACGTAGAACTTACATTTAAATGAAGAAATCGGATTTGTATCTGAATTGAGAGAAACAACTTGAATTTGTTGCTTGGCTGCCTCAAATTGTGTGCTGTAATCATCTCATTAAATTCGACACCTTTAGCGATTTGATTAGATTCACTTTTATTGATAGCGAAATTCTGCTTAACAGAATTTGAGTCAAAAGAATAATAAATAGAGCTTTTGTTGTAAATGAAAAATTACCTATTGAGTGTTTGTCATCTCTTGATATCTTATCAATATTAAATTATCTTCCATTAAGACAAATTTCAATTTAGGAAAATGCAGCAAAAGTTTCATTGGACCCTATCATCATCTTTATCTAAAATCCTTTATGGCGCTTGCCACGTCAATTTCCATACAGACGCTCGGTTTAGCTTATTGATTGTAATGGGTTTTATAAACAAACTGAAGCACGCCTCCCTTGCCGCCCTCGCCCCACCCTCTGGTACGCCCCTGCGCTGATAGACAGCGAAAACAACGCTCACTCAGCTCAAGTGTCTCATTTCTTAGACAAACTTTGAGAACAAAGCTGACACTGAGCTGCCTGCAGACCCCCGCTGGCCCCCATCTGTGGCCAGGCCACGCCCCGAAAGCGACCCGGCGTTGATTATCTTGTTTACACTGAAGTTGCAGTTGCTGTTGCAGTTGTTGTTGCTTATTGTGGCTTGCAATTTATTAAATCAAATTTACAAAAACAAAACAAAAACCAGTTGAGCTGAGAGCGAGAAAAACGTAATTTTTATGTTTATTATTTGATTCAATTATGAAGCAACAACAACGGCTGCAATGTGCGTGCGACGCTGGCGTTCCAATGACCCGCATCATAGCTGCCACGCCCCCTACACCACCCCCTTGTATTACAGTGTATAAATAATTGTATGCTTTTCGTTTTGCATTCATTAACATTTTTATTGTTTTTGGCTTTGTTTCAAGTTCAACTCGAGTTGACTTGACTTAAAGCGGAAATCAACATATATGTATATTTATATATATTCACATTTATATATTTTACAGACATGCTCTTACAGTAGAGAATAGCTCAGCCAGCTGCTTAGGCCAAGTAACAGCAGACTGAGCAGCGGACTCGCTGCAGCGTTGTAATAGCCCCCAAAAATCTGGAGTCCGGCTGTCTCGATGCTGCGCTTGCAGTAATCCCCATCGTAATTCCAGCCCACATACTCGTTGGTGCGCAACGCCTCCTGGCGTAGCCATTCCTCGAGCGGTGCAAAGTATTCCCGTAGAGCACTGCCATCCAGACGACCCTCGCCTAGGGTTTCCTGTAGAACCTCTTGCCAGGGCTGGGAGGCGCCCTTGGCCATCAGTTGTCTACGTGGGGGTAGAGGAAAAGGAGGAGAGAGAGAAAATTGGGTATATTTAAATTAATAAAAGGTAAAGTATATATTTTATATTATATTTTATTTTATAAAGCTTAAAAATTTAAGAATATAACTAAGCTAGAACTCCATTAGGCATAAGCATAACAAAGTAGATATTACTGCAAATCAATCTTCATTAATTAGAGAAGAATTTCTTAATTACGTTTTTCACTTACTTTAATAGATTGCCTGCGGCTGGCTGCCGATAGATGTCGCATTTGTGGAGCGGCTTTCGCGGATCGTTGGGCACATATTGGCCGGCGGCACGGCACATGCTGCGATATAGCTGAAACTGCAGCACCGTGGAGAAAAAGTATCTGCAAGATATAAAACAAGATATGATATATCAGTATATATAGTATGTACATATATATGTGACTTAGATTAACATGACTTTTAGAACGGACAGAGTCACGCTTATTGATCGCATGCGAGTCGAGCGTTCAAAAAATTGTCAATTGTTCTGCATTGGGTGAGAGTTGAGCTGAGCTGCTAACAAAGCCAACTTGTTGTGGTGCAGAGAATGTGGCTCAAGGTCGCACCGCAATTGCAACTAAGCCAGAACAAATTGCGAAAGGTTTTGCATTTCGACATCGTATAAAGTAGGTTTATTATCCGGTTTAAGCCAGATCAGCTCTCATCCAATCACAAACTAGACTACATATGTATATTGGTAATTAAAACTGTTTTAAAATTTTTTATAATTAAAATTAAAAAAAAAAACTATATTGTTTTTTAGCGAAATAAAAATTTAATTGCATACCCTCGAGGTATTATCATTCGACATAAAATTCACCTTAAAATACAGCTGACATACCAGGCCAACATAAATAAGCAGCAGGGATGAGCGGAAAAATGTTAACAAAGGGGGATATCTTAATTAACAGCGTTATCCGCAGTTAGCTTACAGCGTTCTCCACTGAGAGGCTGTTAAAAAAACAGATGCAATTCATGTTAAGTCAACAACAGCGGAGAGGAGATGTGCTGTGAGGCCTCTATAGCCTCTATAGGTTAATGTTAGCTGCTTCAGGTACAATGAGACTGATTTTGACAAGTACGAAATTATAACAAAATATTCTAAGCTTTATCTTAAAGTTTATTAAAGAAATTAAAAAAAAAAAAATAATAATAATAAATTAAAATGAACAATCTTTAGGCCATCAATGCAAATATTACAATATATTTGGTATCAAATGTATATAGATATACAAATATAGGTCAGATATACAAACAGCTTGAAAACGGCCACAACTAATATATGTTCATATATTTAAATACGTCGGGATTTTTTTTTATTATCTCTGTGGAGATTCCCAATCGTTGTTATATTATATTAGAAGCTCTTGCATAATATATTGTTTTAATGCTTCGGGCCATCTGAGAGGCTGGTTCCGTTGTATTCTTTAGTTTGTCTCAAGGTTTGTTTTTGTTTGTAGCACAACAGCTGCAAAAAAGTGCCGAGTCATAATGAAATTGATTTTGTTTTACATTTTTTAATAATTTTGGATTTTGTTGACTGATTCCAGAACAAGTTCAATGATAGATTTATTTTTATCTCTTTCTTTTCTATTTTTTTTTTTTTCGCGAATCAGCTGTGAATTTTGATGAGTTCGATGAGTTTTTGGACTCTATTCTAATGATGCTGAATCAAGCTCTAAGCGCAGCAGACGAGTTTTGCAAGGCGCGATAAGATCGATTTGGTCTATTGTTTGCACGGGGATTCACCCATCTTACCCGGTCGCTGGCTAATTATGTTGGTGAGAGAACAAACAGCAACAATATTCTTATTGTTATTTGCAAATCTTTGATTTATATGTCATTATGAGACTTAAAGCGATATTACTAATAGCATAATCTTTGCCGGAGTTCAAGTTACCTTGAACTCTGAACTGTATGAAGAGTTCAATAATATTAATCGATTGAATACCGATTTTTATCATGTAAGAACTGTAGTTGTAATTGTTGTCAATTGGTACTTTAAGATCGTGTACTCTAGCATAATGTATTACAATTTTAGAGCATAAGCAGAATCAGCTTATGCAAAACCATACGTAAATAGGAATATGGTAATTTGGAAATTAATGGATGATGATGATTAAGTTTAAAATGATTGTCTAAACTTATTTCGAAAATTATTAAATAGAAAAATAATCAATAATTTAATCAGGAGTCCAATTGATTCTTCTCTTTTTAAT